GGCAGGACAAGCGTTTAGAAAGTTTCTTCCACTCTTTGACCGAGTGTTGGTTGAAAGGAGTGCTGCTGAAACTGTAACCAAAGGAGGCATTATGCTTCCAGAAAAATCTCAAGGAAAAGTATTGCAAGCAACAGTAGTCGCTGTTGGATCGGGTTCTAAAGGAAAGGGTGGAGAGATTCAACCGGTTAACGTGAAAGTTGGAGATAAAGTTCTTCTGCCAGAGTATGGAGGCACCAAAGTAGTTCTAGATGACAAGGATTATTTCCTATTTAGAGATGGTGACATTCTTGGAAAGTACCTAGACTGAGATAAATCACTATTGAAATGGCATCAACATGAAGCTGCCCATTCCACTGAAGTTCTGAAATCTTTCATCATGTAAATAATTTCCATAGTTCTCTTTTATAATAAACTAATGACATCCAGTGTCTCCAAAATTATTTCCTTGTGCTGATATAAACATTTCCAAATAAAAATATGTAAATGAAAAAAAAAATTAATAGGGAAAGGAGTATCACTAATGCCTGTAATCCCAGTACTTTGGGAAGCCGAGGTGGGCAAATCACTTGAACCCAGGAGTTTGAGACCAGCCTGGCCAACATGGCAAAACCCCATCTCTACAAAAACTACAAATAAAGAGCTGGGCGTGGTGGCATGCGCTTGTGGTCCCACCTACTCGGGAGGTTGAGGTGGGAGGATCGCCTGAGCCCAGGGAGATTAAGGCTCCAGTGAGCTTTGATGGCGCCACGGCATTCCAGCCTGGGCAACAGAGGGAGACCCTGTCTCAAAAAAAAAAAAAAAAAAAAATTCATTCATTAAAAAAATATACATAATGATAAAATTTTAAAAAAGAACACAACACGAAAGTAGAGGCACACAGAACCTGCACACCAATTCAGATGCACACATGTGGACACATGCCCACCCGCAGCCAAAAAAATGCTGACAATTATTATTTAGAAATCACAAAATCTCAAAAACTAGCCTAGTATTTGTATTAATGAATGTCCTCGTCCTCTCTCTAATATTTTTCTCCTACATAACATTGTTTTCTGGATCAGACCTTATCTGAGTTCAACCACCTGTGAATTTTCTGTTATAGAAACCAATATGTTTCTTTGTTGTTTGAGTTATTCGTGCACAGATACATGAAGAATTCACACTAAGCTTTAAAGATAGACCTACAGTCATGAAGAAAAGCACTTCAAGATTTATCCCAGCTTACAATATACAGAATGATTTGTGCAATCACATACCAGTTTCTTCCAACAGCAGAAAAAACTTAGAATCACTTAATTTTTAGCACTGTGTGATTAAATATCATTGAACTATACAAGAATACATGGGCAAATAAGAATATTTGTAAGGCCAGAACAAGAAAACAAAAACAATATTATTGCCTTTACCAACTATTTAGTAATGAGACCTTAACAGAAAATGCTAATACAGCTTCTTTGATGTGGTTGCCTAGAATTGATTATTGCCAAGTACTGCTTTGTGTCCAGTGGAACAAAGAGATAATCAAAGACGGAAAAAAAAAAAAAGGTAGCAAAAAGTTTGACATAAAACTGTATTTTCTAAAACTTCATTAAGGCAGGGCATTAATAAGAAGCAAATTAAAATCATAGCGTGCAGCCAGCATTAGGTAATGTAGGTTTGAGATATAAATGTGCCATGGGAAAACAGCAGCGGCTCTTAGAAAATGCCGCGCGACTTTCTGCAGTGTGGGCAAACAGTCGTTTTGAAAGTGTGTGAGCTCAGTGGGATTCTGTTTGCAATTATGAAAGAAAGGAGTCAAAACAATAACTGCAGAATATGATTTGGAACGGAGTCCTGCTGGGGTTCATTGTTTTATTACTGCCGGCTAAGGAGCTGAGGCGGCCAAGCACACTAAGTCTTAGCACGTCTTTTATAATCAGGGCTTATTTAATGATGACCTTCTTGGATTTACTTGGAACCCTAAAAGAGGAAAGGGACAGAATGACTTAAGAGGTTTATAAAAACACTTAATATTTGGGATGGATTTTCTTTATGTCTATTTTAAAAACCAACTTCTCCCATTATTGCTCAGGGAAAATAGGTCCCGTGGCAGAATCACTGGGCTGTGGGCTGGGGCCTCAGAAAGCACCTCTTCCAGGACGTGCTTTACACGTAAAGGGACTTGTCAAAGTCCACCCAGTCACCTGGTAGCACAGTGTGTGCAGCTAGCTCTGCATAACTCAAGTAAAAAGGAGAGTTGAGCCTAATGAGGAAAGTGCATGTCTGTTCCAAGCTGTAAAAATTGTGCCTCCCATTTTCCTGCAAATTCATTCTTCAGTTCTCCCAACTTCCCTTCCCTCTTCTACCTGTTCTCACCAGATACCTGAGGATATCATCTTTTTCCCCCCAATGATTTCAATTATAAAAATCAGGTTTATTCTTGCAGAAAAATATATCTCTGTAGATTAAACAGTCGAAGAAGGGGTGGCCTGTCTCCCCCACAATCCCACCTCACCATCCTAGCCTAGTGCCGGCTCTCAGCCAGTGTTTACAGGATTTGCTCAGTAAAGGGCCCCTCCCCAGAACCACACTGCCCAGCTGGCCTTACGCTTCCTTGGTTTTTGGTTTGCTAGGGCAGCTTACCAGCTTGCCTTGCCAGGGGACATGATGGTCTTCACTTGCCAATTCAGTTGTCTTTTATGGCACAGCTGTGACCATCTGTCCTTCGTCGCAGGCAAAACTTCGCATTCATCCCTTGCATGACTGCCCTTCATCACCTAGCCAGTCGGTCTCAGCTGATCCTAACTTCCTAATGCACCATGAAAATAAACAGTTAATAGAGAAATTCTACACATTCCCAGCGCTACATCTAACCCCTTTCCTGAGTTTATGCTCGTGTATTTTGTTTTCCCATTGCTATGAAGGACAAACTCCTGTGCTCCTACCTAAGGCCAGCCATACAGCCTGTGCACTGGGTCCCCAGCTCCTCTCACATACTCAAGGACGTCAATCCTCAATTGAATCCTTAGTGCCTTTCTTCCCTGCACTTTCCTCCTCTCGACTTGGGATCTCCCAGCAGCCTACAAGAATGTTGTGATCTTAGCATCCTCACTTGATTCCACATCCCTTCAAGCTACTGTCCCTTTTTTCCTGTTCCTTTTTTTAAAATTTTTTTTTTTTGAGACAGAGTCTCGCTCTGTCGCCCAGGCTGGTGTGCAGTGGTATGATCTCAGCTCACTGCAATCTCCGCTTCTCAGGTTCAAACGATTCTCCTGCCTCAGTCTCCCAAGTAACTGGAACTACAGCCATGTGCCGCCACGCATGGCTAATTTTTGTATTTTTCGTAGAGAAAGGGTTTCACCGTGTTGGTCAGGCTGGTCTTGAACTCCTGACCTCGTGATCCGCCCGCCTTAGCCTCCCAAAGTGCTGGGATTACAGGTGTGAGCCATTGCACCGAGCCTCCTGTTCCCTTTTAAAGCAAAACTCTCCAAAGAGTTGTAATTCTAATCACTGTGTCTAATTCTTCTTCTTCCATGTTCCCTTGAACCTACATCAGTCAGGCTTTAGCCCATATCGGTGAACTCTACTTTGCCGATTCCTGTAGTGCGCTGTACAGTGAACTCCACTTTGCCAATTCCTGTAGTGTGCTGTACGTCTTCTCATATTTTACCTGTCAGCAGCATTTAAGAAATTAGATCACTTCCTTTCCCTGGAAACTGGGACTCTGTGCTTCCTTGATTTCCTCCTGTCTCACTGGCTGCTTTTTGTCAATGTCTGTCCCTGGATCTTTTCCTTCTTTCTTAGTTTCTTGACATCTCACTGGGAAGTCTGATGGGCACTCAACCTTAATATGTCCAAAACAGATTTTGTGACATTGATCCTGTCCCCAAAGGTGCTCATCTCCCAGTGTCCCATATCTTGGTAATTGGTAACTTTATTTTCTTGGATGTTTAGGCCCCCAACCTTGGAATCTTCATTGATGTCTCTTTTCTGCTCACACTTTACACCTAAGGGTCAAGAAGTCATGCTACCTTACCTCTAAAATGTGCCCCATTCCAACCACTTGTCACCACCATCCTTGCCACCACTCTCTAGTAAAAGCCACTCAGTCACTTATCTGGACTATTTGCGATGGCCTGCCACGGTCACTGCTTTTGTTCTTGATCCCTGACGCCATGTCTATTCTCAACACAATAGCTAGGGTGATCCTTTGACTGTTTGAGAACTGCTGTCTTAGAGAAATTCTCATAAGAGGACATGTACTAGAAACTATTGTTTGTAATAGAGAAAAGTTAGAAACAACCTGTCAATGGATTAATACATTGTGGTATATTCCTAGAGTGGAATACTATGCAATAGGGGAAAATAAAGTAGAGATATCTCCCATAATGAGATCCATATGGGCTATAAGGGAAGACCATGAAACATTGCCATATGAGAAAAGCAATTTAGGAAAGTGTTTAAATAAATATGGTGCCTCTATACAGTGAGATACTAGGCAATCAGTAATAATGAGTTGGTAGAACAATACGTACTAAGTGGAAAGATGTTCAAGATATTAATATTTTACCAAACAGTGAATGGAATAATCTTTTCTATCCAATAGAATGTCTTTTAATAAAAGTATGCACATATATGCTTAAATATATACAGAGTATCTCTGGAAGGACATGCAAGAAACTGATAACTTGTTTTCTCCCAGGGAGTAGAAAAGGAAGGTTGGGTGAAGAAGGGGATATTTATTTTTTACTTTACACCCTTGGGTGCTACAAAATTTTTACATGAGTACATGTATATGTGTATGTGTGCACACACACATATGTACACATACATATATATGGGTTTATTCTGTTGCTCTAAGGTTTGTGTTTCTTTGTGTTTTACCTGTAAAACTTCATCTGTGATATGGTTTGGTTCTGTGTCCCTGCCCAAAACTCATCTTGAATTGTAATCCCCACATGTCAGGGGAGGGGCCTGGTGGGAGGTGATTAAATCATGGGACAGACTTTCCCCTTACTGTTCTCGTGCTAGTGAGTGAGTTCTCACGAGATCTGGTTGTGTAAAAGTGTGTGGCATCTCCCCCTTTGCTGTCTCTCTCTCTCCTGCTCTGCCATTGTAAATATGTGCACCCTTCCCTTGACCTTCTGCCATGATTGTAAGTTTCCTGAGGCCTTCTAGTCATGCTTCCTGTTAAGCCTGTGGAACTATGAGTCAATTAAACCTCTTTTCTTTATAAATTACCCAATCTCAAGTAGTTCTTTATAGCAGTGTGAGAACAGACTAATACAATCTGGAATTTTTATTGGTAGAAAGAGTAAGGTCACAAGGAGCAGCGGCTCACACCTGTAATTCCAGCACTTTGGGAGACTGAGGCAGGAGGATTACTTAAGGCCAGGAGGTCAAGGCTGCAGTGAACTATGACTGCCACTTCACTCCAGCC